ATAAAATGGCTGAACTGGCTGTGGAAACAGAATTGACAACCAGAAAAAGACAAACACTGCTGATGAATATGCAAAAAACAAATGCCAAAAACCAATAACACAAATATGATATAAACATACATACATGCAAATATATATACCTATATATATTTATGCATACGTGCATTAAATATTTAATTTTAATTATTGAAGAAAAGTGAAACTGTTTAATGAATTTGACATAAAAACACCAAAATATATGTAAAAAAAACATTTTTGAAATGTGGCAGAATATTTGGAATATTTTAATTTTTTTAGGTATAGACGATAATTTATGAAACAGAAGCGGAAGCAAAAATTTCCAGTTGGCGTAGCATGTTTCTATATAAATATATATACATAAACTCCACACTTACAAAGAAAAATGAATATTCCAATACAACATTTTAAAATAAAAACTTCTCATGTATGTACACAAAAAAACATTATAAGTTCAGTGTTGCCAACTGCAGTAAAAATTATGTCTATGTAAAATAATTAAATTAAAGAATAAAACAATGTGCAAACATCCTACAAAAAAATACTACCGATTTTGAAATTATTCGCTGAATTTTCGTCAATGTAGTTAATGAAATTCTAAATATAAAAATATAAGTAAGAGTAATTTTGTTTTGCAAAAAATATATAAATAAAATAAACTGTATTGCATGCATAAAAAACTATGAAATTTTAAACAAAAAGATTTTCCTTAAGTTTTGTTATTATTTTGTTCATATTTTCAACTTTGAAATTTAATTAGATCATGTAAATAAAATGTTTAAATAATACATGTCTTCAATGTCAAAATATTTGCTAAAAGTATATTAGTTAAAATATTTTCCTTCACTGCTGAAATGCAAACATACATACATCTTACATATTAGATATAATTTTAAACTGCCTAAAAAAATTAATATACTTTTACTTTCTAAAAATATACTTTAGTACACTCTCCGGGAATTTATGTAACGCTATCGATCTAATTTAGAAAAAATACCTAAAAAGCTACAATTATCATTTGGTTGTTATGCTATTCATGTTGTATATTTATGTCCTAAGCCATTACGTTAAGCCTTAAATGCTTGCCCGATTGCAGACGACCTTCTCAGCATTGATAGTTTTCATAACCTTTCCGGCATATTATGATAACTTTTCATGTGTCTTGATTTGTCCATATTTGTACTCTGAATAGGGTATTCCAAGTATGCCCCGAAGTTTGTAACACCCAAAAGGAAATGTCAGAAACCAATTGGTGCAGTTCAAAATACATTATATATTTATAAAAATTGGGTTTAAAACCTCTTCTTTCAGATATAATTTGATATTTAATATTAACATAGTGCTGGCGCTTCCAAACAACAAATAAAAAGAAATGTATCAATGATTTTACATCGTATCGCGAAGCCAAATGTTCGCAGCGACCTTCTATTATCTTTTCGCTCAAAATCAATTCGTAAATTCGGTCAACGAGCGACTTGAATTTGGTGCGGGAGTAACAGATGAGTTAAAAACAAAAAATATATCGAACTTTATTGAAAGATTTAAATTTTATTCAATGTTTTATTTGAAACTTTTGTACTAAAGCACTCTCAAGTATCTGTTTTTGAAAACAAACAATATTACCAGCAGAAATATCGTACTTCAACTTACTTTAACAAAATATTTAAAATTCAGCCGGTGTTGTTTACTATTATAACCTGTCACACCAATAACAAAATTTTGTCACAATAATTTGAACAATATGTCAACACATACCAGCAAATTTTCGTTTTTATATATAGATCCTCAACTCAAAAACTCTAAATTGCATTGTATTTATTATATTTATAACTTATTTAAGGCTTCAACACAATTACCCTTTTATTTTGATGGCAGATAGCTCTATAAAAATATATAAATTTCAGCCAAAAATAAAATTTTGTGTCTTCGGTCGTCCCATTCATTACAAAAATGTACCTATTTACTAAAAAAAAACATGCGATAACAATGAAAAGAAAACAATAATGAAAATTAAAAACAAATTTTCCAAAAATTCAAAATATGTTACCAAAAATTATTCGAACCCATGCAATAAAAAATAGTATTAAACAATAAGAATGTAACTATTTATTTGATATGTATAATTATATAAAAAACAGATTGTCCAAAGTGTTATAACAAATATAGTATATTTACAATGTATATAAGCGTGAAATTACAAAAAAATAAACCTTATTATTATCTATTGTAATTAAAATTAAAAATGCATATTCTTATATTATAATATAATGAAATGTTATCAATATGAAAATGTTGAAATAAAAAATTTATTAAACAATAAAAACAAAGCAAAAAATGTTAAGAAATTGCAGACAAATTATGACAACATTATGTTCAGTACTCAAACATGAATAAACACATACATACATATATGCATTTCTGTGGCAATAGTTAAAAGAGCGTAAGCCGACTTTGGGTAATGGAAGGAATTTGCGAAATTTTCACAAACGCTTTCGAGACTCAACTATATATTTCATTTTAAACTGCTCCCTAGAATCTGCGCCTTCAAATTTATATTAACGCAAGTTAAAGTATATACTCAAATTTCAGTAATCACAATGTCAAACTTAACTTAAGTCGACCTAAGCTTTATTGAAGTTTTGCCACAGATATATACATATGTACATGCATAGACATATACTCGTACATATATACATTATAAACTCGAACACAATTAACCTTAGCGGTTCTACTTATGCTACAAGCTCTACTTTTTAAAAAGTAGTCACCAAAACTTAATAAAATTGTTTGTCATTACTGAAGCTTTGAATAATTGTAAAATACTTCTACTTTCCGACCATTAAAGTCTAAATTTTGCCTTCTTATACTTCATCACTATAAATTTAGGAGCAGTCTCTACCCTCCCTTTCATACATCAACGACTATTATTCTTTAAACATACTTACGCACTTTTATTCTCAATAAAATATTGTTGTATTACTTAAGTGTATCATAATAACTAAACATCCATAGAGAAGATACTTAAATAAACAAAAAACATTTTTGTTAATAAAAAAGTTATGACAATGAACATAAATAAGTTTTATTTATAAGAAACCCAGCCAACTGCTATTAGAAACACCGATTGATGAGAGTGTAGAAGTATTTTCGGTGACCTTTTTCTAAACACCGGGCTAAACACCATCAACAAATAAATATCAACATTTTTCGGATCTAACTGTATAGAGATTTTCCAGACGCAACGATTCACGATTACTTTATCAGGATCATACGCAATGTTTAAGAACGTTATTGAACTAGTAGAGAATGTCCATTTTCCATTTCAAAACTATTTGCATACGCTACCAGTTCCGTTGATTATTTAGTAATTATGTGGTCAAGAACAATCCAGCAAGGAGAGACGACAACATGCATAAGCTATTCCCACCGTTCATATTACGGTTTTCAACTCCACTCAGTTATATTGAAGTTAAACCAATTCAAATTCAGATCAACCAAACTCTTTTTGGTATTACGAAGTTCAACTATTTCCTCCAAGACACGTTTTATTGGTGTTGGGTGAGCAAAACGCTTCAAAATTTTAATTGAACTCTAAAAATATATTCCTAGGAATAATAGATTAAGATTGTATTACGTATTACGTTTTTTTGTGGTTCGCACGACATAGAAGTGGTTATTTTAGCTTCGAAGACGCAGGATATCTTGGATGGACATAAAAGTTTAAATATGGGAAACTGAAAGCATGGAAGCAAGGAAATCGGGTGTAATATGAATTGAAGACATTAAAGACGATTTTGCATTTTAAAATTGCTGTTTTAACTCTTCAAAAAGAAGTCCTTTTTGAATTGGACTTTGACTGGGGATGAAAAACGCAAAAAATCATACAAATGCAATGACGCCAGGGAAATGCTCTATATTTGTTGGGATCAGAAGGCCGTGCTGTATTATAACCTTCTAAAACCGGCTGCAACCATTAATGGGCAACACTACCGATAACAACTCATCAAACTGAAGTGAACGTTAGCCGAAAAACATCCGGAGTTTGCGACTGGGCAGGAGGCATTAATTTTCCATGACAAGGCTCGGCCTCACAAAGATGGAAAAGTGTTATAGTTTCATATGGGACATTTTGAATAACACTATTGTATATGTTTTTCCTAAATAAACACTAAACTGTTGAAGAAACAAACATAAGATGAACTTGATTAAGTTAGTTAGTATCTCAAAACGATACGTTGATCATATCACTAACGCATTTTTGCAAATGAAAAAGCTTTGAGTGCTACCAAAAGAGTTCCAAAGGCAGCATGACACGCTACAAGAACGAGTTTCTGTGCCGATTTGTGACAATGTAACAATGTTATGAAAAATGGATACATGATTATATAATAGATTTCAATTGGCAATCCGTTGTTGCCCGGTAAAAATCGACACATCGACCCAAGGGTTCGAAAGCACAATAGTTGGCTGAAAATGATTTAGCCTGTATTTTTTGAAATTCATATGGAATTAATTTTATGGCCTATATCTAACATGGTAAAACACAGAACAAACATTATAATTGTATGTTATTAGATCTGTTGAATGTCGAGACAAAGTTAAGCCAAAAGCTTTTTAGTCCATGTAGCCTATCTCTTATACCTAAAAGTAGTTTCATAGTGATTTTTTCATTTGGCTTTCAACCACTAATAAATTGCTTATGTTTTCTGTCCATCTCGGTCGAATTTATACTAGCACTACTTGTTCCCAACATTTTTCTTTGGGTATATAAACATTTAATCATAATAAAAACTAATTATTTCAAATGGGAAACAAAGATCTGCCTCTCTCTCTATCTTTCTCTCAACTCAACTACATATACAAACATATATAAAATATTTATAAATAAACATATACATACATACAACTATATCTCACAAAAAAGATACTAACAAACAAATTAAGAGCGTAAACTCTAGCTAGCATAGAGACAAACAAACCCACCTAAGTACAAGTACATATCTGTCTCAGCGAGCAAATAATACAAATTGAGAGCAACACAATTGAACGTCACAAAAAGTTTAAACAATCTAAGATTGCATTGGCACCACCCAAGTGAGGGCGCCCTCTAAACATTGTCATTCAGTTGCAAGCAAGCACCGGACTTACATACCATAGTTAGATTCACATCGACAAAGTTGAATATTTTTGAAAATTAGAAAACACCAAACAATTTGCTTACATTAAACAAGTATTTAAGAACAAAATTGCAAAATTTGTACTGCAACTAAAAAAATTGATAAAAGCTGCAATTCAAGATGTCTGATTTCAATTTGAATAGCCTGGAAGAGTGTCTGGAAAAGCATATACCACAAAATGAGTTGAAAGAGGTGAAGCGTATTTTGTACGGCGTCTCCGAACAGTAAGTCGATCAAAGCGAAACTATAAATATATCAATTTTTAATTGCGTGTATAGAAGTTTTTGTTTTGAAATCGAACTGGAGCAGCTGAGTGTATAGAATCATTAATTATATAATAGTGAAGAAGTGAATTGGGAAAATATATCTGCGACTTTAAGTAAATAATACAATCTTTGTCTTGTCAGTTATAAGAGTATCATAAAAACTATATTCTCTTGATATGCTATATACACAAGCTTATCTGGAGACAACGACTTTATTTTGATGCATAAATTATACGTCTGATTTGTTAATGATATGAGCTTGATAAGTAATGTTTATAGGTATATACATTTGTTTTATTTGATCAAAATGTACATATAGATACATATATACTGCTCTACAGTTCAATATTTACGCGCGACAAACCCCGGCGATAATGTGCATATACTACTTGTTCGCATTTCTTTTATACATAATTATAGTATTTAATAGCTAAAAGGTATATATAAAGGCGCATATATGTCAATATATACAGCTGTATTCATTACATAAAAGATATTTGCCATGTTTGACACTGTACTGATAAAATATATACACCCAGCAATACAACAACAATATAATAATATTATGTTTAACTTGACACACGCACACCCACGGACATTTTTAGCTTCTAGCTAGAACTATCATAGTTTTTTGTCGAGAAAGGAGCGGGCTCTTCAGGTCTAATTCTAGGTTAAACGGTTGAGGTCTATATGCAATTCCTTATATTTTGGAGAGAACATGGGTCTCAGTGATACAGTAAGCGACCGGTATACCAGTTCGTAAAATTCTTTAAGTTGTATGAAGATAGATGGATGGATATGGATTTTGTCAATTTAAATTTTTTGTGAGTTATCCGCACTATTTTTCTCTATATACCTACATACATACATATGTATGGACCCTATCTTTGATCTCGACGTTTAATTCTTCTGCCATATTCGGGTCGGTCTATGGAAATAATTAAATAATTATATGTAATCCTGAAAGAGTTGCTTAGTTCTGCAGTCCTACAACAAGTCACAGAAGTTGGGATCTTCTTTTCAAATAGCACTTTTGAATCGCGTGATCATTTCTACGGGTCAATCGGGGCAAAATTTTTTCAGCAATTTGTCAAATTATGCGATGTGCAATCCGAGCAAACATCACTTTTTCCATGTTTTTTGATGTAATAATTGTTTTTGGACGACTTCTACAATATTCATCTAACGAAATTTTTTTCTTCTTTTCTGTAACAGTGATATTTTGGAACTACCAGCTTCTGCGGTCGCCTTGGCTGTTGATAATGATTTTGAGATAAAGGGTTATCGTATTTCCGCACAGACGGAGCAGATACGAAAACCTCGCATCGTGCGTGTGGGTGCTGTCCAGAACTCTATTGTACTGCCCACCACCGCTCCAGTAGATAAACAACGCGAAGCCATCTGGAATAAAATACGTCTTATAATCAAAACTGCAGCAGCGGCGGAAGTAAATATTATATGCATGCAGGAGGCGTGGAGTAAGTTGCAAAAGAAAAATGTTTACATAAATGATTATACTGAGCTATTATTTTCCTCCATACCTAGCAATGCCATTTGCCTTTTGCACACGTGAAAAGTTTCCCTGGTGCGAGTTCGCCGAAGAGGCTGAGAACGGCCCGACAACAAAAATGCTACAGGACCTTGCCAAAGCCTACAACATGGTCATTCTATCGTCAGTGCTCGAACGTGATACGACGCATGGCGATACCATCTGGAATACAACGGTGGTGATATCGAACCGTGGACGTTACCTCGGCAAACATCGTAAAAATCATATTCCACGTGTCGGTGACTTCAACGAATCCACTTACTATATGGAAGGTAACACCGGTCATCCAGTATTCGAGACAGACTTTGGCAAAATAGCAATAAATATATGCTATGGACGCCATCATCCACAAAATTGGATGATGTTCGGTTTGAACGGTGCAGAAATCGTATTTAATCCATCGGCCACCGTGGGTGCACTGAGCGAACCACTCTGGGGTATTGAGGCGCGCAATGCCGCTATCGCAAATAGTTATTTCACAGTCGCAATAAATCGTGTGGGTAGCGAAGAGTTTCCCAATGAGTATACTTCCGGAGATGGACAGAAGGCGCATAAAGTTTTTGGACCATTTTACGGTTCATCTTATGTAGCGGCACCGAATGGTGCACGTACCCCGGGCTTATCGCGGCATCGGGATGGTCTACTTGTCACCGAGCTGGATTTGAATTTATGCAGACAAGTGAAAGACTTCTGGAACTTCCCAATGACACAGCGTCTACCACTGTATGCTGAATCTTTGAAGCGAGCCTCTGAACTTGATTTTAAGCCCCAAGTAATAAGGAAGTGACAGCTGAAGGTTGCATGTGATTAACCGATATTTGTTCCCTATGAAATTAACATAATTTTTTAATAAAAGCGACACTGTGTTTTTTCCCGAAATAATAATACAAACGGCAATTCATAATGGAGGAGTGGACTACGAGTATATCTCAAATGGATAATAGATATTATGACATTGTAAATTTAATTTTACTATCAAAATTTACAATATCAAGAAAGATATGATACCCGCAAGTCTGGGTGAGGAGCACTTGGCAGTGCTAATAAATGATGGACTTTACTTAAAAATATATCTAATTATTTACCGAATTAAAACATATCAAGTTTGGCGTATCGGAGCTTTATATTCGAATCTCAATAATTATTGGTATTGATAGTTGTTCTTCAGCTCTTCTACGGTCTCACTTTTAACAGACACATTTAATTTCAAGCTGATAAAAGAAATTATATTATGTATATACGTTTTAAAAATTCTGCGATCAAAGATTTCGATCATATGACTAAACCCTAAAGATATTATCGGTGATCCACATATCTACGTAAGTAGCAAATCGTTTGACCAAAAATCACTCGCTTAAATTTTGGTTACATTTCTTTCTTCATCATTAGAGGCGGAGGCACCTCTTTACAGCTGGATGTCATTTCTTTATGAACTATTGACTTTGAAGTTTTGTCATTTTCAAATGGGAAGGCTTCTGCCAAATTCGAAGTTTTGCTTAATAAAAACATGTGATAATTCGTAGAGAATATAAAAGAACGTACTTTGCAGAAAATAAAACCAAGTAACAATTTTATTTTACAATATACTACTCGTAAAATGTTTTGTTGTAAATATTACATCGAGTAATCTATATATCTACCGCATAGTAACCTTCTAAACGTTTGGCCTCACGTATACCGGTTTCTACTGCACCATGTACTGTACCGAAATAGTAATCGTGTGTAGCTTCGCCAGCGAACTGTACTACCGGCTTAACGGCTAGAGCGCCTTTAAGTGGAGTGAGTATACGATAGGTTGGGGCCGGCCCTAATATAGTTATTGGTTGTGCCAACTCTGCCGACGACGTGGACAACTCTTCTGTTTTGAGTGAGCGAAATGAAAATGAGCCATTAAAATTTATATTGGTATCCCATGTGGTTCTAGCCAAATCTACAGCGTTATTTATTTTCCATTGTGGTAGAAAACGTCTCAGCAAGTATAAACAACCGTCAATCACATCAAAATCTGACATTGTTTCAACGAGTGGTATATTTGAGCCGACCAACCAACCGACTAGTGTGCATGGCTGCCTGGGTACTCTGTAGAAACCATAAATATCTTCCAACCATGCACGTTGACTGTCACGTATCTCCGCAACGTCTTCTTCCCGCCAAAGCATTGCCAAACCTGTCCATTGACTACTCCAAAATGGTGTAGGAAATTCTAGGTATATTTTCATAATGCTACCGTAACCGAGTCCTTCGATGGCATTTAGCTTCGATAGTGGCAATTCAGGAGTGAACATTTGTTGTACTTTTCTTTTCAATACACCCAATGAAACAGTCACTATAACATGATCGACGAGGAAAACAGCACTAGTATTTTCACAAGTTACCTCGACTTTGAAATCATGACGTTTCCATATGATCTCTTTCACTCGAATACCGAATAAAATTTTATCTTCGAGTATGCCCAAATCATTGCTAAGCTCATCTGCTCCCATTAGTGTGCGTAGAAAGTGCAAAAACCCTTCTTCAAAATGCAATAAATAATCGCCATCGCAGGTTTTATAACTTTGAAAACCTCGACCGGACATTTCATCAAGTCCCGCTGATGTTTCCGATCGTTCAATTTTCGCGAAATTCTCGAAAAATTCTTTTGCAATTACTTCATCGATATTTTTATATTCATCACGGTATAATATTTTAAAAAAATTCTTGAAAAGATATTCACCAAGAGTACCTTCAAATGTCGGTAATTCCTCGTCACGTCTGGCAAATATTTGTGCCAATATAGTTTTCAATTTTTTTACCACATCATGCGGCACGACCGAGCCATCAGACCGTATGCAATCAAAATTCGTATAGATATAACTTGAGGATCGCAGCATATTTTTACCATTGACCATTTGGAAGACAATATTACCAGTTTCACCATGGCACCATTGTGCACCCATTTCAATAATATTGTGACCGAATTGTTTTGAATAAATCCGTCCACCGATCCGATTTTCCGCCTCAATTATGGTCACACACTTGAAACCCTTTCTCAACAACGACACAGCACACGCGATACCCGCCGCACCGGCTCCAATAATTAGAAACTTGGGTTCCGCTCCAACATTCTGTGATCCTTCCCTAAAACTAGTTGCATGCACGAAGGACTCACTACTGACGGACGTTAAACTACCGTCTAAGGTGGAACCACTCTTCTGTGCCGGTAATAAACACATTTCAAATGCAAAGCCGAATAAAATAGAACACAAATTAGAATTTTTCAATTGCCAATTTATAAATTTGTCTAAGAAAATATTGTAAACATTTGTTATAATCACAACAAAACCTAAAATGTAGAATGTCATGTAAATTTAAAATATATTTGAGCATGCAAAGAGAGGAATACTCTAAATTAGGCCTTTTTATGCCGAAACATTAGAACTAAGAGGGTTGTTATTGCAGATGGGCGTAATCAGACCACTGCCACGCCCACAAAACGCCATTAAACGAAAACCCATAGTCTCATAACTAACCACTGAATTGAGATACAAAACTGGGATTTGGAACAGGGATATCAGTAGTGAGAGGCACTTGTGGGACTTCCAAATCACTAAAGAAAACTCAACCAAACATGTTGAGAAGAAGTATTTTCGGCATTTCTTCATACATTGTAAAAATCGGTAAAATCAGATAACAACCACACTCCCTCCCCATATAACGGTTATGTTTAAAATTACTAAAAGTGCAATAACTCACTGAATAAAAGAGCTAGAAGCATTTGATTTCACAACCAGGATGGCAAGGAAGGGTTTTATGAGACCTGCACCAATTTCAACCAAATTTGGTATGTGAGGTTATCCAGTTATTAATAGTGTACACTATGGAAATGGGCAAAATCAGTTGACGACCACGCCTACTTCCTATATAACAAGCTCTTAAAGTCCTGATGATTCTTTCATTTTACAGTATACAGATCAAACATCTATGAAGTTATACTCGTAAAAGTAAGACCTTGCACAAATAGTGTCCTCAAGGTATTTAATAATATTACGCCCGAAAACTGTCGAAATCGCGCTATAACTAAAGATAGAAATATGTCACTTTATTTGTTGACCTTGTAAATGACTAGAGATTCATTCATTGATCGCCGAGTCAACCTTTCAAAGAGATTGCGCTAGGTGCACGCTAGCTTATCCAAAATATTTCGTAACTTATTTATTGAATATACTAATTTAAATATGTTCTTTAATTTATACTGATAAATTAAAACAAAATAGTAGTTGTAAGGTTGCCACCAGTTTAAAATTTTTAGGTAAAATCAATAATAATGAAATAAATACACATATGTACATTAAATAAAAAGGTTTAGCTTTTCTAACTGAAAATAATTTTGAAAAGGGTTGCCACTTTATTAAAATTAAAATTCTCTAAACTGTATAAGATAAACAAATAGTATCAAAGTTATTAAGTTTAATAAGGATTACAATAAAAATATCTTTCGAGGGGTTACCATATGCCAAAAATTACATAATAATTACATAAAAATATATCAAATAAAGAAAATTTTAACAATGTGAACAGAATTACGTGGACTTGTGTGGACGATATTTTTATTTTAAAGCGGTGTTGCCAACTGTTTGAAAATTTGTAAACAATATTGTTATTATATTTTCAGCAAATATTTGCATTTTATTAGTTTCATAAAATGTACGCTAAATCTGTAGAACTTGTCTGAACAGAAGTTTGCAATGCTGAAAAATATGTGTTTGGAAATAAATTCAGCGCAATATTTCCCCAGTATAATATACACCAGAGCTACATAATTATTACTTATTTTAAGTTTGCGCATTAAGATTGTACAATATTATATTGCTAAGCATTAAAAAGTTACAGTAGTTTGCAAACATTACAATTTTCAGTATTTAAAATGAATATGGATTGTTTAACAATCAAGCTCAATATTGTTTCATTAAAATTTATTACGTGATTTTTTATTAGTATACATATAAGGATATCAACCATTGTTTGAGTTGAGTTTTGAATTTTGTACTCGTACGTACGTAAATATATATAAGTATTACTATATTTTTGTAAATATAGAAAAATTGTTGACTGTTACATTATTATTTTATTTTTATAAACTTTTTATTTTTACTTTTTTTAATATTTTTTTTAATTTTTATTATTATTAAATTTTAATATTTTTTAATTTTTTTTTTAATAATCGTATAAGTTGCATGGCAACCATTATTATGAATTTTAATAACCGAATACGAAATGAAAAATAATAAAATCGATGAATAGGCAATAAGTACGAATCGCCCAGAAATCACAACAGGAAAGCCTGAGGGTATGCTAAGCGAAAGCAAGCGCTTCACAAAGCAATCTTAAACAATTCTACAAGTTATTTTATAATATTCGGAGCGTTGTAACGTTTTTACTACCACTATTTTTTACAAAGGTATAAAGAGATTTTTACTTCGGAAAATAAAAAAGTTAAAACTTTAGTTTTTATAGTTGACTGGAAATTATGCAAGTAGTGTCTTTAATAGATTACAATTCTTTATATATTAACGTGAGGATAGTAATGGAAATTTGTCGATTTATATTTTTCAATGCGCATATTCGGGACTCTGAATGCCGCGACAGTGGCTAACGTGAGACAATTATTCAACACGTGCCACTATTAGCATCCAAAGTCCTAAAACTGTTATAACTGTGCTCTTGGTTCCTTTCTGCCATTTCGTGACATGCCGTAGAAATCCGCCAAGCGCTTCGCCTCGCGCCAACCCGCCTCCACAGCGCCATGCACGGTTGAGTAGTAATGATCACTGGTCGCTTCGCCGGCAAATTGTACGATCGGTTTATCACAACGTGTTTGTGGATAGAGTGGATTCGCATTCGACTCGCCGCCGTTACTTAGTGGCGGACTCGTGACAACCGTGAGCGGTTGCGCCAATTCGCGTGCGCTGGTGCCGATCTCTTCGGTGTTCATGGAACGAAATGAATAAGAGCCACGGAAGTTGGCATTCGTATGCCAGGCTGAGGTTTTAAAGCTGCACGGGTTGGGTATATCCCATTGTAGGAATTTGCGGAAGAGATACATGCAACCGGCAAGCACTTCATCATCGGGTAATGTCTCCATGTGACGTCCATTGGCGCCAATAATCCAACCGCTTAAAATTTTCGGCTGATAGCTGACACAGTAAAAGCCGAACACATCCTCTAGCCAAGCGCGGGAAGTACCGCGTATTTCGTTGATGTCTTCCTCGCGCCACAACATCGTAAAACCGGTCCAGTCGTCAGGCCAAAACTTCTCGGGGAATTCCACAAAGATCTTATTTACCGTGCCGAAAGCCAGTCCATCGATGGCACGTTGCTTCTCCACAGGCAATTTTGGTTCAAAAAGTGTTATTTGTTGTTCCTTGAGTACACCCAGCGATGCGGTGAATATCACGTGTTCAGCAATAATCTTCTCACCATCCTCACACTTCACATCCACACCGTAGTCATTGCGGCGCCAGTGGATTTGTGTCACACGTTTTTCTAACAGCACACGCTTCTCCAGTACGCCCAATTCATTGTCTAACTCCCGCGCTTTTGTTATCAATCGTAAGAATTCAATGAATCCCTTATCTTTCCAGTTTAGTAGTATATCACCCTCACACTCCCAATATTCCAAATATCCACGACCGGATACCTCATCTAACGTGTCCGAGGCCTCTACTGAGTTCTCGAATTTTTGATAATTTTCAAAGAACTCTCTAGCTATCGCCATATCAATATCGGAATTTTCCGGCCTACGCAAAGCCTCATAGAATTTATTTGTTAAATAGCTACCCAACGAACCGTTACAGTTACGCAGTTCCATTTGACGCGTCACTAAACTATCGTTGACGATATCTTTTAGTCGTTGACTCACACTTTCAGGCACAACCTCTCGATTTGAGCGTATGCACTGGTAATTTTCATAGACGTCGCCCGTCGATTCGAGCAACTTATGTTTGTTAGCCAGCTCAAAAATAATATTGTCCTTTTCACCGTGACACCATTGGGCGCCCAAGTCTATGACATTCTCGCCAAACGGTATAGTATACACACGCCCGCCAATCCGGGGTTCAGCCTCTAGCAGTAGTACATTTTGAAAACCATAGTCGAGCAGTCGTACAGCACAGGAAATGCCAGAGACGCCTGCGCCTATGATAACAATCCTGGGACCCGTACTACTCGTCATTACCTAACTGTGAGGGAGTGTCCGCAATTAGAAGGTTGTGTTAAAATATCTGAAATGAAATAAATTATGGAAAATAATTAATTAACATTTCTTTGTATAAAAATTGCTTTTACTCGTTATATTTAGTGAAGAGAAATGGAGTTATGGAAGGACTGCCAGTTGTTGGTTGCTGAGCTGACAGTCCTTAGGTGAATAAAAATCTGGGTCCATTACTATTACGACGGAATTTTTATGGTATATTGAGTTATTTAATTCAGAGACTGGGGTCTCAATACGACTTTTGCAGCTATCTGTCTTTTGCTTATTATTATTGCGTTACGTCCTTGAGGTAACTCCTAATTCATGTAGTTACACTGAGAAATTAAATGTATGGGTTTTACTATTGTTCACGAAATATTTCATAACTAAAATTAACCAAGTCGATCCAGCCGTCCTCTAATTTTAGCGATACTAATGAACAATTATTCATTGGTTTAGTACAATTATTTATAGTATAGGTACCGAATTCCTTTCAGAAATTAAACTAATTACAATTTAATTAATATTCGGCGGACTTCAAGAAGAAAATACTATCTGTTGCTCGCATAGCAAAAACAGTCGGCTTACTAACGTCGTATACAAATAAAGCTATAAAGCTCATGGAGCAAATTTCCATCTGCGAATCGCAAAAAAATCGATCCATTTCTGAAGCGGACTATTATTTGAAATGAAAAATGGGTCACTTACGACAACGTCAAACGAAAACGGTCGTGGTCGAATCGAGATGAGCTGGTGCAAATGGGAGTTAAGCCAAGATTAACGGTCAAGAAGTTTTTGCTATGTCTTTGATGGTTTGGCTTGATTGGTATGAAATCATCTAATATGAACTGCTCTCCTACGGTAAAACTCTTAATTCGCACCTGTACTGTCAAGAATGGGAATGGGCCATCTGAAGTAAGCAATCGCTCAAAAGTGGCCAAGTTTGGCCAATCGGTGAGGAAGTGTGTTTCATCAGGACCACGCAAGGACACTCACATGATTTTGCCGGTGAAAATTCGCCTAAAAAACAACTTTTGAAAATCGTCTGTTCAAGTTTTCGCCGATAGGGATGAGGGTTTCTCTGAGAGTGCTATTATGAAATTCGAAATTCCAATAAGTTATTAGACAGAACGTTGCATATTTACCCTAAACCTTCAATTCAATGCAAAAATAATGAATTTCTTTTTACTAGACCTAATATTTAGATATTTAGGATTAAACAATGCATATACTACATATATGCTCAATTTAATGTTTACATTCTGAACACTTGACCAAGGCTCACACAACGTGGCTAAATAATCGATGTGTATTAACACTTTTTTTTATATGTATATTCTTCGTTAATTTAATCATTTATAAACTAATTATTTGTATTAATGAAACACTGCATATACCTGATACACTGAAAAATGTAAACATATTTTAAGTTTATAAATAATATTAGAGCCAGTTTTAAATAACCACCACAACACCTTCTAAAGTAACTTTATACAACATTTATTGCTTTAAGTACCCAGAGCCGGCTTATATTAAGTGTCATTATTGTGCAAGGAAATCGCAAATTTTCATTCATTCGTTCGTAAATGCAAAAACAACATACCTATATACAAACATACTTGTACATACACATACTTATGTCACCGACACTACACGCCCACTCATTATGCCGTCATCTGCAAACAAATAAGAACTGTGCATTTTTCCACTTATTGCTGACTTTTTTGTTTCGTTTCACTGAATGCTTAATTTTTCGCATTATGAACACAAGTAACAAAAACAACAAACAACAAAAACACACAAAGCTTTCTTGCATTCTTATGAAAAAAAGCACAGCTGAAGTTTTTCTCTGAATTTCTCAACAAAGCAGGCAACGGTGCACTCATATATCTACATATGTATATGTACGGAAATGTTGATGTGTGAAAAATTGTGAAAATGCATGCCGAGCCCATTTTTTGCAACTCATAAAGAGCAAATACAAATGGTGTAATGCAAGGTAATGGGCAGACAGAGGTGCCAGTAACAACACGCAACATGCAACGTATCAAGTGGTGTAAACATTTACAATCCCCTGCAGGAATATCGCGTTGCTTTTGTTTTACAACATTCATGAATGAAAAAAGTTAAGGGGTTAGGCCAATCTAGGATTTTCAAAAAATCTAAAAATGTTTTGGAGTTGAAGTAAAAAGAGCATTTCACCAATGTAATACGCTGTGGTGTGGAAGCGATATAATCTGTCAGCTTCAGCACCTAAATCTTTAAACGCCTTTTTCTCGAAATGTATTTTTCAACGACGACGATCGTACTCGGAGACTATCGCACGTATTCACTTAAAAGCTTAACTATAGCCTAATGATAATACTATCTGACTCTAGACTATTTTTTATCGGGTTATGTGAAGTTGCTTGTCTACATAGATAAACTCGAGACGATTGACGCCTTGAAAAAAAATATTCGGCGCTTTATACATATATACCATATAGCTGACAAAATATAGCGGTCTCAAATGCAAAAGTGGTCGAAAATTAATCCTCTCGGCTGGAATTCATTCGAGCCGCCCCGGCTGGCATGCGCGATGGCCATAACTTTAAATTATAAGCGTTTTATTTCTTCTTACAAACCACATGTCTAAATAGAACACATTTAAGTAAAGCATATTAATTAGTATAGTCCATTATTCCTACGTATTTAAATCTTTGGTGGGCTGAGAACATCCAGCAGGCAAAAATGTCTGAACACCTCATAAAATTCCAGTATTTATTACTTTATGTCATTCTCCAAACTAGAAATTCTCACCAGCTTTTTTACATTCTAACTGTTCATTTGAGATTTTCTCTACAGGGCAAATTTATGAATGGAAATGAAATATACTTGTATGTTTATGCTTATTTCAACAACAGCCGCGAGAACGCCTGAGTATACGAGTATGAAAAGTATGTTCTTTTGTCCAGAAAGGAATGTTGGTGATTTAATTGTACATATATATGTTAAGTTGCGAACTTTTAGACATTTGTAGGTATGTATAAATATCTGTCTTGTTTGCAAACAAACTTGACATTTAATAAGTTGTCTGATGACAAATTTTATTTGAAGGTATGTATATAGAAAACATAAATAAATAAAGAAGTGATACTTTAATTCGGGCCGGTCCGAACATTTGATACCGTCGCAGTTTGTAGCAGTGCAAAATATAGAAATTTCCATTTTTCAGACAAATTTTAAATAGCCTTCAAACGAAACTTAAGTAATTATAGGTATTTATTTATAAAATGCAACGAATTCATCAGGGATTATAAAAATCGGTCCAGTAGTTAGTTATACACGGAGTAACTATGCCGGCTTTGTTTAATTTATTTTTGTATTTCTAAAGAGTTTCAGAAATGACGTAAGCCTATAAATATGCTATCCCATGCATTTGCAATACCAGCACATTTAAGTTAGGTTAGTTTAAGTAGTCATGTGAATATTCTTGGAGCCAGAAAGACCGTCACATTTCGACAAAACGCCTTGAGTCTGCCACAAATTTGTTGACGCGGCTAATATAAATTTCAGACAAATTGCCTGGTTCGTAGAAGGTATGACTACCGAGGTGCTTGAACCTTAGTCTGCGGAAAGCTGGACTGTGGAAGTGTTGACAAGTTGCATCCTCTAAAATGTTAAATCATGTCCGGTTAAAATTCTTATCATTGCAGAGGTATGAACCATTCTCAAAGCGAGTATTTCAGTAGACCTCATAATGACTGCCATTTCTGAGTTGATTGAGAGCTCCCGATAGAAGACACCCTCCACAACCTTCCCTTGAGCTTCGATGATTTTTTTCACTATCCGTGAAAAAGCTCACAACGCCGCTAAGGAGTGGGTTCTGCGACGCAGTGGTGCAGGTTCAACCATTAACACTGAGGTAGTATTTTGGAAATATTTGTTTCGTGTTCCGATATATGTAGGTGTATGAGTCCTACATATTATTTTAGTTATTCAAAGTTGTTAGAAGCTACTTTTAGTTGAGCGGATTACAGTCCCTGAATAAGTTACCTCAGTGTATAAAAAAAAACGCTCATTGCATTTATGTTGTATTAACTGGAAATTCGAAGCAACAAATTGAATTCTTTGAATAGCGAGAAATGTAAATAAGTAGACATATGGAACGCTGTAAACAAACAATGATTTACATACATACCATACAGACACAATTCAAAGACGGGAAAACATTCGAGAAAAGAAATAATTTGGTTTTGAAAATCCATTTTAAGTTTTAATATTTATTTAAGTTCACAAGATTTTAGAAAATTAATGTTTCTTACAAATGCATACATAATTACTTGTATGTTATACTATGCAATACTGTCGAACATAATGGAATTATACAAGGTGCGTTCCAAAGTAAACAAGACTTTAAAAAAAAACAGAGCAAATGGTTTTATCGGGAAAATCAATTAATTTTATTCGAAATAGTCTTCTTCTGCTTTAATACAGCTTTTTGCATGGTCCAAAAGCATGTCGAACGAGTGTTTTATCTCGTTGACCGGTATGGCCGCCAGTATGCCGGTGGAAGCCTTTTGAATGGCCTCCACGTCTGGATAACGCTTTCCTTTCATCGGCAAATGCATTTTTCCAAAAAGATAGAAGTCGCACGGTGAATACGGGGAGTGGTTGATTGTTATAATGTGAATTTTGGTCAAATAATCGGCCACATGCGTCGATCGATGAGACGGCGCAATATCGTGTAACAAACGCCAACTTCCATCTTCGCGATATTCGGGCCGAACACGTCGAATACGGCGCACCAAACGCTTCAAAACTCCAAGGTAGAATAGCGCATTAACGTTTTGGCCGGGTGGAACAAATCCTTTGTGGACAATACCCTTGGAATCATAAAAACAAATCAGCATTGTCTTCACTTTTGACTTCTCCGGGCGCGATTTTTTGGGTTTCGGTTCATTTCTCATTTATGTCTTCACGACCACTTTGAAAACGTTCAAACCACTCGAGCACTCTGCTACGGATAGGCAATCATCGCCATAAACTTGTTTCATCAATTGAAACATTTCGGTACAAGTTTTACCAATTTTAAAACAAAATTTAATGTTAGCTTTTTGTTCAAAGCTCATTTTCGCACCGACGACAAAAACATACTGACACTTAAAACGCAATAACTTCACTTCCAATAGATAAAATGTCATGAAATTTTTACTGGAAATCGATAAAGGATAACAGATTCTAACGCACTAGTCGACATATAGATGGCGCCACTAGAGTTTACTTTGTTGCTTTTTTACTGTTTACTTTGGAACGCACCTTGTATTATATTATATATAGCTGCCATACAAACTGAAATATCAAAATTAAATTTTTGTACGAAAAGCTTCTTTATTTGACAATATATCTTCATGAAATATAGCAAGACTTATGGTTCAAATCGAGGGAGGCTACAATAGTTGAAAGAAATTTTCAGATCGGGCCAATATATGACATAGCTGCCATACAAACTGAAAGATCAAAATAAAGTGTTTGTATGGAAACCTTTTTTATTTGTCGAGGTATCTTCACGAAATTCACACATATTAATTTTAGTCTTCATATTCATACTTTGGTCTTGAAAGCAAAAGCGGTCTCAGTTTTGTTAAACGTTGGTCTAAAGAGTTTAGAGATCCGTAAATTACTAAAACACTTTATACAACCTTGGTTAGACCTATATTATACCTCTGTTGTATGGAACCCTAGCTACCAAATCCATTCTGACAAATTAGAGTCGGTTTAAAAACAATTTTTACTTTTCGCCTTAGCGCATTTCCGATGGGATTCTAGGGTAAGTCTACCTCCATACACTAGTCGTTCAAAACTTATTAATCTACCTACACTTACTAGTCGTAGGGAAATGCTTGCCACAATATTTTTAGTGAATATTTTGAATGCAACAGTTTGCAGTTCTTTTCTCCTGTATGAAATTAAATTTAATATCCCGGTTCGCTTTTCGAGGCAGTTTAGACCTTTACTGCTAAAATCCTGTAGATCAAATTTTGAACTAAACGAGCCATTCCGCCGTATACTTGTATGTCATGATTTTAATTCTCATTCCAGCACATTTGACTTATTTGACTCACTTTTCAAAATTAAAAAGACTTTTGTTTGTTTTCTCTTAATAAATGAATATGTAACAATTTATTATATTGTAACTTTAGATCTTGGCTGTTGAAATTTTTGTTTCTGTAGCTGAGCAGTTTTAGATCTCAACACTTAAAAAGCTCTCTTGCCTTTTCTGACTCGGCTAATTCCGCACGTATGCGGATCACGCCCCTCGCGTCGGTTGGGCGGAAGGAGGGTAATCGTTGGGTTATTATTATTATTGTCCAAGATAACGGTACAATCTTGGAACAAATTGTTCAGATTGGACTACTACAAGATTCAGATTGGACTTGTAATTTGTGGACTTAATGTTGTTGGATAATACCAATAGCTTGTTATATAAAATTAAGCGGAGGAAGTGATGCCGCAGTCTTTTGAAAAATAATTAGACACTTCCCACCAATTATGGTATATAGGTATGAATTAACCTTTTTAAACGTGTGGCAACGCTATTTTTCACTGAATGGAATCTGTAAGTGTCCCAAATTGATTCAATGTTGGAATCTTAAGAAGGCAAGAGAAATAATACTCTTTGCCTAAGTGGAAGGCAAAATAAAGCTCATGAAAAAATGCTCTAAATATATTTAGTAATATTTGGAATATATCAGCTTCAAATGCATATAGTTTTTTCGAAAACTCCTTAGCAGTTATTTTTTTAAGTATCAATATTACATCACCTCTTTTGTAATAATCATTTGTCGAAGCACCGATATCAGACAACGATAAAGTACTACAAGCATATAGATAACTGCCATGCAAACTTAACTGTAAAAATCATGACCTTGTATGGAAAATCTTTTTAGTCTGATTCACCTTCAATCGATGCGCAATATTACGCATCGTAATTGCATCACACTGATTGGACTATAAAATACATTCTCTAGCCATTAGATACCGAACCTAGGTCCCCAGTATTATTGTGTGATGTCCTCACGCACCTGATCTTATCATTTTCAAATTGGTTTTATATCATATCTATATATGTCACATATATATCATATTTATATATGTCACTGTACATATATCGGTCAGTTTATAAAATAGCTTAATAAAATTGAGTAGAGGTATTATTTTGGATATACTGTAGATTTTCCCCAGAGCTCCTATATCACATATGTAAATTTTGCATTCATTCTAGGTCTAAATTATTTGTAAGTATACCAGAATTCATCAAAATCGGTATAGTCATTCTTTAGTTATAAATTGAGTAACTTCGTATATACATATCTAGATATTTATTTGTACACACCGTTATAGAAAGTACCGGCTTCCGGGTAGGATACAGGATGGTCAATCAATTGTGGGAAAATAAAAATTGCAAAAAATTGTTGCAGAACACCGGGCCGCACTAAGAATTCCGAGCCCGGGAGGAATTATCCTCCCTATATATATACACATATTTATAACAGATTTGAAAGAAATGTGGTATATCACTGCATCCAAAAAAGTATTACTTTGAAAACGCAATCAGTAAACGTAACAAATCTGACTTGAATATTGCAACAGAAGGGGTCCGCCGCAAGAAGGAATTTACGAATATACATGTCCATTCCAATTCGACTGGGTTTATTCATGAAACATAGGCGAAAGTTTTGACCTCTTTAAAACACTTAAGATTAGACGCAAAGAGTCGAAGAAAAACTATAGAATTGCGATATTCGAATTTTTTCACGGATATGTCCAGAAGGTTTTGAGGCCGAATAAAATTAGGTCTATGCTCAGCTATGTGGTAGATTAACAATGTATATTTTTATGTTCCTACATACATATGTATATCTTTATACCCTGAACAGGATATATTAAGTTTGCGACTGGGATTGTAACACTCAGAAGGAAACGTCAGATACCCTATAAAATATGTATATAAATGATCAGCGTATATACTTATACGAACTAGTCCCTCAGCGCCTCGGAACCGCCGATATCTGACCACTATAGCATATAGCTGCCAAAGAAACTGAAGAATCAAAATCACACTTTTGTATGGAAAACTTTTATATTTGAAGAGATATCATCATCATTCATGAAATTTGGCACAAAGTTTTAAGCCATCGCTACAATGTCCGAAAATCTCGTTCTCATCGGAGCACTATAGCTGCCATACAAACTAACCGATCAAAAGCAAGCTTCTATAAAGAATATATAGTATTTGTGTAGAGTATTATAGCTTCGGCGCAACCGAAGTTAACGTTTTTTCTTGTTCTTGTCATATTATAATATTATATTGAATATCCAAACATAAGGCGCGCCGGCAAGCAACTTTTTCTTCAAGTTCTACCGCATTTCCCGCGGTATATGTATGTACAAACATAAATGTTTATTCATTTTACATTTTCAATATACACTTACTTATATACATATACAATGAATGTGAATTAATATTAGGAACACTTTATTATCTCTGCACGATTGAATTTATTTTTAGTTCACAGAGCGAACATAGGCTAGCGAATAAAAATGTTGGTATCATAGCATATGTACGAGTATGTATATATGTATGTATACACGAATGACGGGTATTGGGTACGTTCAACAATACCGTGCAAACATTTAGCAACAATATTGTTTATGGTCATATATTTTATATTGGATGGAAGAAATTATTAGAACTATTGTGCACTAAAAAGCTCGAAAAAGAGTGAGTCACGTTTCTTTGATGTCAACCTTTCCTATTGTAAAGCGAAAGAGCATATCGAATCTAAGAGAAAAACATATAAATGATGATACTAAAATTTTTACTTCCATATACGCTCAATTTGTTCCATAAAAAACAGCATAATTTGCATTGTTCCATATTAAACAGTTTTAATTATATAATTTTTTATAAACTAAATATTTTAAAATTTAGGTAATATAGACATCTGTTTATACTAATTGTTAAACATGGAAGAAAAAATAATAAAATCTCTTTCAGATTGCTACTGGCATCTGAACAATCAGTTACCAAATCTTATTAAATAGTCAACTGCTAGATCTATCGACACTACTGTATATGTTTATGAAGCTTATACATGTATGTATGTGTATCACTGCGCTTGAAAGGTACTTCATGTTCCAACTAGCTTATGATATTGAAATCATTTTGAACTTGTGGTTATGCCGTGTATTTTTGTTGTAGAAAAATTGATTTTCGTACCAAACAGTCCACAAGCCAACACACCAGTCACCAAACAAGTAACAATACATTAAACCACCAATGACCTTCAGAGTAGTGTTTGTATCTCAGACCATTGCCGCCCAGCAACTGCTGCTACTTTCATTACTATCGATATAAATTTATTATTATTTATTTTTTTTTGTATTTTTATTTTTTATTAATACACTTCTTATTTTGTCTTATTCCTCTTCCGTATTTTTTGTTTTGCACATTTTCGCCGCGCGTTCACGTGCTAACTCAGTTAGGGTGGTTGCTGGGCTGCAGACAACCACACACACAGAAACGCACCTTACACGTTGCTTTTCAGCCATCGAAAATACACATTTTATAAAATAAACTCACTTTATTTTGAATTCCTTTTAATTTACACCTTTTCAAAAAATTACTTTGTGTTTTAATAACTAATTTGTGCTTATAAATTATTATTTTGTGCAAATTTGTATATTTTCAATCAAACGAACACTAAAGCGCCGCCAACGAAGCACACGTTTCTGCTGCCGACATTACTCTGACGCTCTCAAGAGTTTGATTTGCCGTTCCCACTGTTATCGCCGTTCTACAGCAGCAGCTGCCGCAACTAAAAAAGAGAATGTTAAATATAATATAAACTGGGTAAAGTTAGCAGCAGAGAATTTAACAGCGAAAAGAACAGCATTCAAGAATGTTAAAACTGTTGAATATACTCGTAAAGTGCTATGGTGTTTGAAGAAATGTTTATTGGTTTATATTGCATATAATACATACATTTTCATGTACATAATATTTTGTAAAAAGACGTAAATTTTAATAAATACTAAAAAAAAAAGTAGTTATTGGTGCTAACCTCTGTATAAATAACTGCAAATAGCATATATACGGGCATGTTAACTGCTTCAATGTGCAATGTATTTCTAAAGGAGTTGTTGCGGAAGAGCAAATATGAATGTTAACTAGGGAGCATAATAAGGACATACAATTTCCATGTTTAGGTTATTTTAAATATTTGCTAATATTGCCGCAAATATATGGATTTTGTTTTATAAAAACATAACGAATTCATTCTAGTAGTTCTAAAATGCGTTTACAATATTAAAGCTTGATCAGTTTTTACTCTTATTTGAAAATTGATTTCTTTCATGTTCTTATATTGTTTTTATAAATTCTGGTAGAAAAACACTCTGTTTAACATGGACTATAACGATCTTCCAACTTTTCGAGTCCATATATTATATTTAGTAGGATTTGTCCTTTGCTACAAAATATGACTCAGCCTCAGCAATTATATTTTCATTCTCTCTGAGATATTGTTAATATTATTATTATTAATTATAGAGCGGAGAAAATCTTTATTGGGTAGTAACCAGCTAACATTTATATATACGAGACTTTTCTGGGTTATCGAATCACCACATAATAAGTGAGAGTGACATTGAAAGTCAGCCGTCTTATAGTTAACATTGCGGAGAAGAATGTTAATCTTAATAACAGAGCCGGCTTCTTGCCAATTATTTGCAAAAAATTCCTTTTCAGAATTTTGTTTTTAATTAGTTTGCGCAGATGTTGTAGGCCATATACATATATTTTTTATTTTTTAGAACAGATGTTATTTAAAATCTAAAAAATCTATGAATGCAATATGTAAACCATGTTCGGATGAAACCGGAAGTCAAGTTTTATCATGTTAGAGGATCATAGAAAACCTTAAATGTTAAGATGTATATTTTTTAAAATACACTAATGGGTGAGCCTTACAATGTAGTTGTTCCACCTAGAAGTTCTTGTAAAAAAAATGATGTTTCCGCGAAATGCAAAGAATCATTTTACATTTCAACAATGTTGCGAAATATTTCAAACTTCCAAACCAATGTTGGGTAGTCCATACAATATTGAAAAAAGTTTTGGCCCCCAAAGATATTTACCGCGTCTGCTGTGTGCCAGTGCGTATCTCGAAGTAGCGATTATGCAGCATTAACATGTTTTCGTGCTGAGCCGTAGTTCATTACTCTAAGGCGATAATTCAACAAGGCCCTCGGAAGATAAAATGAATGCACAATGCTCCATGAATAAGAGAATATTCGCTATTAGTATGAATTAGTAGTACTTTTAAAGACATAAATGGTTCCAAAAACGTGTGCATGTGAGCATTATTGACCAATTGTTTCATCAGTTTATTTATTTTTTTACTTTTGATAAATTATTCTAATAACTTTTACTTTGACTCCAATCCAAATTAGCCCCTAAGGCTACCAACTGTTATAAACAACTGTTAGGTTAGGCCATAGGGCTGATCCTCGAACCAAAGGGAACACTGGATAACACTTGAACAGTTGTGAACCTTCATTCACTGTGTTTCCCAAAACTCATGAATATGATATGAATCATCAGATCCTTCGATGAAGCGTGTTGAGCAAACCACACATTTTTTAAGTAATATCAGCTGCTTTATCAGGTACACTAAAGTTGTGTCTACCGGGATGACAGCTGAACAGCTGAAAACAAAGTGCGAGTTAATTTTTGAAATCGTGGGATCCACTAGATTATCCAGCGAGTTTTGATAGCATAAATTAAATATCCGACCGATTGTCACAGAAACTAAGGTGCTCTTTTTTGATGGTTGTAATACTTCTAGGTATTTTCTTTTAAATGATCAAAACTAGGTTAGGTTGATCCCCTGATTGCGATGTATGTCCACTTTGACGCAACGAGCTCGCTATTTAAAGTAAAAGCTCCTTTTTGTTTTGCATTTCTATTTCTCTGATTTGTGAGGAATTTTTTTAAATAAAACAATATATTTTTTTTAGAAAAAGAAGAACGATCTTTATTTATAGCATACAATTCAATTATAACTGGTTCTGTTTACAATTACGTGCATTCCATTTACATACTGCATATACATACATCTAGACATAGTATGTGCGTGTGTACTATGTATTCGGCAAGTGTTTTTAATACAAAGCGTTATTTTTTAATTTTTTTTTTATATTTTTACAACTAATTAATGAACTCAATTATTGACAATAATTCAAATTTTATATTTTTTTTTTGGATGTCGGTCCATGATTTATTGTTTTGTTTTCAATTTACACGTACATACATAGATACTATAATGAATTGTTCTTCATTTTGTGTTAGTTTGTATGCAGAATATTTTTATGAGTTACTGTGCGTTTTAAAATGATTGGGCAACATGTCTTGAGTGTGGAAGTTATGTAGAAATTATGGCAAGCCAAGGCACATTGAATTGCTGCAAAATAAAAAGAAAATTGCAAACAAATATAATTTTGCATTCCACTGCTAAAATCTGGAGTCTACAGTCTCTAAATGAATACACTATTTTGTCATTTTAGAAAGCGAATAAAATTAAAAACAAAAATTAAATCACAATTCTAGTGCTACGCCCAATTCAATGTGCCTTGCTGTTAATTAAAGATTTTTTCCAAAAACAAACCTTATAAGTTCTAGATTAACGGACGTCGTAATTAAATTTTTTTATTAAATTTATTATTATTTATTATAATTTAATTTAGTAAGAATCAAGAGATAATGAGGGCTCTCTATTTTAACCAAATCAATTACTTATCACTCAATAGTATCAAATAAACTGGTTAGAACTCATTTAGGGGTAATGTATAATGCGTTATGTGCCGAAATTTTGATAAATTTATTTTTGATTACATAATCAACTAGAGTCTAGTCACTAGACTGCTTTAGAAATTGACTATAAGCCAGTTTGTTATAGGCGCGCCTATAGCCTGATCTATTTCAAAATGCAAAGAGTCATCTGTTTATGATTTATTAAGGGTTGATATACAATGCTTTTTCCATGTCAACTTTTTTTATAGCTGCCCCTCTTCGATTCGCCATTTCTTTGCTCACTTTATTTGAGCTCTCTTTTAAAAAATGTGACTTATGAAAACAACAACACAGCTTTCCAAGTAAGAGTACAAGAGTAGTTTGCGATTCTAGCTCCCTTTAATTATACCATTCTATGTTATTTATACCAGTTGTTTGTTCTATTGTGATGTGACGATGTGAGCTATTAAATTATTAATTTGATTAATTTAAATGGATCAATTTAAATGGAATGTCTATAATAGTTGTAAAGTTTTCGAATTGAGAATTAATAAATGATATTAGTTATACTGATTAAGGCATAATCAGAGATGCGTTAAAATGACAAAAAGCTAGACATGTCGATATTTTATTAAAAAGGAGGTTTCCTTTTTAACACGAAGTATGCAAACACGAAACATTTAATTTCTAAAAAAATTATTTTATTTTTAATTATAAGCTTGACATTAAATTTTGTTGTTTGTTTATCTTTCAATCCAGTATTTGGTATTCAACATTTTAAATCCGACTTTTGGGAGATATTTTTTTTTCAGTCCCGTACTTAGATGCTAACTAACATAAATAAATGCTTAAAATTTTTATAAAAAATCCACCAATAATCCTGCTAAATTAAAATTTTAAACAAGGACAATTACACTGGTAAACACTGCTTTTTACACACGAACTTTGAGATGATTTTTGTTTAAGTTGGTATACCCTCATTAACAATTTATAATACTTTTGTTTCAATCACGCCCAGTTTTTTTTTTTGACGGCATTGTTTCATTTACAAATGAGACAGTAGATAACGATTGAGGTATGCACCGGGACCTATGGTCTATTGTACCCTAAATGGGACAGTAAGGACAGAGAAAATAACTATACAAAGAAAGTGTGGCCCAAGCGTAAATCACTCACTCCAGGCTATAAAAATGTTAAAAGTGATCCTTTAGTGAATCCTGATGACATTCTTTTACCACAATTGCACATAAAGCTCGACCTGCTAAAAAAAATTGTAAAAGCAATACCTAGAGATGGCAGTGGATTTATATATCTGAAAGAGAAGTTCCCCAAACTCAGCGAGGAAAAAATTAAAGAGGAAATATTTGTAGGTCCACAAATACGACAACTGATTTAGGTTAAGAGCTTTGAAAAAAACTTAATAATCAGGAAAAATTCTCTTGGAATTGTTTTGTGAACGTTGTCCGAAGAAACCAAAGATCATATATAGTTATAATGTCATATAAGTCTTTGGGTTATAATATGTCCTTAAAAATACATATGCTGGACTCTCATCTGGACTTCTTCCTTGCAAATTTGAGTACTGTCAGTGACGAACCAGGCGGGAGGTTCCATCAGAACATTAACCTAATGGAAAAGCGCTATCAAGGGAAATTGAGCGCAGGAATACTGGCAGATTAATGTTGGAGACTTAAAAACGAAAAAAAGACTTATATTAAGCAATAATTTCTCTAAATGTAGCTGGTGTTTGTAATTTTTAAGAAAATATCTGTCTTGATGTCACAAGAAAACCTGACTTGTCAATTTTTTTGTTCATTCACATATTATTGTTTAGTGGGCCTAGTATATTCAAAATTTAATATGAATTTTCGTGTGAAAAAAAGTTAAAATTTTGTTAACCAGTGCTATTTTATAAATACTGTTTTATAGCTAAAAAATATACTTTATGTCTACAACTGAATTTAAATATATTAAGTAAAATTTATGAAGTAATAAAAATCTGACTCAATTAATATGCATTGAAACACTCATTTGGAAAATTTTTGGAACTACTTTGACTGACGAGGAGAGGGAATTCTTTATGAGAAATACACATCCCAATTACATATTCTGTCTCCAATACTGAAAAGAGTAACTGCCACTATATTCTAGCTCCCGAATAAAAACTTTTGTAATATTGAAAGTTTAGTTAACCATTTGGATATAAAAGATAAATTTTTTTAAGTAAATGATTAAATCATCTTTGCAATAAGAGTTATTGTATGGAGCAAAAAGCATTTAAAATAAATATTATTTTGAGTACATAACATTATTAAATAATTTTTAGTATTCGAATTATATACAAGTAAGCCAATTTTTTCCCGAAAGCTCTCAGAAAATCACTTAAATTGTACGCCGAATTTTAAAATTATTAATCTTTTCTGAGTTCTTTACTGTACATATACCATAAGCCGATATTTTGAGCAATTAAAGTCACTTATTTCAGCCGAAGTTTATTTTTTAAATAATTATATATAAAATATTTTTTCACCTTTCAAAAAAGTGTTTTGAATATGCAATTATATAATTTTTTAAGGGACTTCATTTTTTATAAAGAATACTTGCTAACCATACTTTTGAGTTGTAAAAATATTCTAAGATTCTGTGTACAATATAAAACAAAATAAGTATGTATAGTTAATGTTAGTATCTGTCGATTACAAGAACGTAATACACCACAAATCAGTTATATAATATGTATTGAAGACTCTTAACTTTGTCATATATTCTTTATTCCACACTTTGCTTATTAATCTTTTTTTTAATTTTACAAAATCATACATCATGATATTTAAGGAAGTTTTTATTCCACATATACTCTTATACTACAGTTATTGTTTTTCACTCTCTTTGCTGGTCAGCCATCATTAATTGTTTCATAATTCATGTTTCGCCAAGTAAAGATTTTTTTTAACGCTTCATTTTGTTGTACCTCTTCTATTCAATACATTTCAATTAAGTTTTTATTGTAATTATATAAGTATTTTAGTCATTTTTACACTACTTTAAATACTGTTTTGATTTCCCATTGCCTCTACATTTACATACAATATTATTTGTTTGCAATGTATTTCCATTTCTACGCTATCGTTTACATTTTTGCAACTTCAAATTGTTGAACAATCTCTTTAGAACTCTTTATAAGTGCATATTTGTAATGCCTCTACTACATTCGTATACTCTGCGCTACTATACCGCTGTATATGTATGTGTGTCGCTGATCCAACATCATTTATCCTTTACCCTTATTCCTTTTTAAATACCCTTTAACATTTGCACTTTTCACATAAATCTCTCAGCATTATTCTTCCCATCCATGAAAAGCCAGTGACAAATTAAAACCTACCGTGTACTAATTCTTTTTCTTTATCTAAAATCAGCCTTCAATTCTTAATTCGGGTTAAATAAGCATACAATATTTATTTATTTCATTAATTTTAAACACACACTTTATACGTATAATAATTACTAGATATCCATAATGTAGCCGGTAGAAAACACCTTATACTAAAATGTTATTTATAGTTTAGCACATTCTAATCTAAATAATTGTATTATAGAATTATGTGAAAATGGAAGATATAATAGTGTAGACAAAAATTTTCTTCTAGAAGAACACAATTTTGATTTAAAAAAATAAGATAAGATAAAAGTTAGTAAGAAATTTTCAAATTTATTTTGACCAAAAAATTTTGTTTGAAATATTATTAATGTTCTTAGAAAAATAATAAAAAAATATAAATTTGAAAATAAAACATAATTAAAATACCGTCCTTCGTATATATAGAACTCAAAATTTGAATACATACATATTTTTAGTTTTTCATTCTAAATCAAGTACTGTAATATCTAGAACCGAATTCCTACAAGACCTGTAGTCAACATTATTTTCAGTGAAAGTGCTACCACTTGGTTTTTTCTACCTTCGAATTAACTTGCCTTACCAGTTAAATAAATACTCAATAACAATAAGTTGTTTAACATAAATAGCTATATATACTATATACTTATATATAAAAAAATTAGGGGAAAAATTATTTACTGGTAAGCTTATCAGAATTGCATAATATATTTGGTTTACTTCTGTTTATATATATATAATATAACTATTTACTTACACAAATAACGGTATGCATGCATAATTGTGAGTGTGAATGAGTACTATATTTATGTGTGTGTATTTGTGTGATGTGAAAAATTTCGTTGCTTGGATATACATTTTGTTTTCAAATTGGCTTTGTTTTTGTAACAAATTTATAGGCTTTACTCAACGCTTAAAAGTGACAAATTGTTCGATCCAAAACTGCACATAGAAGTCAACGGGGGAAATTAAATTCCGGTTTAAGCTATATTAAACAATAATTGCACCAACATAAATACACAAATTATATTTTAAATTTTGAGGTTAGAAAATCATAAACGATCGCAAATATTTTGTATAAGAAAACTTAAATATGATTATCGAAAATCCGCATAGTCGAGAATAGACATTCGGTTACATATTTACAATAAAAACACCCAATATTTTAAGCATCAACTTGGCTGAGCGCTTTTATGATCAACTGCATTTCAAACTTTTCAAAGTACCTATGGGCCTATTTTGCTAAATTTCTTCCGGCCAAAATATCCTTTCCTCCACTGTTTTTCGCTGATATTATACTGCCTGGGTAGGTAAAATCTTCGTCATGATCAATCTTAGTCTTGTATTAAAAAATGTTCATTGCCTTAAGTGTTAATTTTCATTGATTTTGTTTTGTTCACGTTGATCATATTGGTCTCCAATAAATCATAAACTCATTCAACATGCGGGGATAACAGCAAGTTAAAGAACTACTCTTTACATATTAAAAGCTTAAGTACCTTTCAATCATTATCCTCTGGAACAAAACAAAGAAAGAGCGCAAATTTTTTTGACTTGTTTTCGAAAAAAGGGTTGTAGCCTCAATAACAAGAACAAAAATATATAAATATATAGGTAACAAGAATGCCATAAATCACAATTTCGAATTCAATACAAACCATTTCACTAATGGTTATAGAACGTTTTAGGTCAGCTTTAGTGAGAAAGATTATATTTTCTTGTTGTTGTAATCCTAAAACACGTTTTCCAGGTAATTTTGAGAAAAACTGCTAAGTTGACAACGCTTATTCGAATAAAAATCCGAGTCCGTTCCGCTTACATAGACCCGACCATCGTGGAAAGTGTCGTAGTTTGTAATGGTACTTGCTGATTTTCCTGCGCAAAAGGTCGTTCTCACTCTGACTTTACAGTTTAACGTAGATTAAACTGTTTTTGGGCCATCGATACATATTTAAGTGTGTTGTATTGGAATTTAGTTAAATTTTTAGTTAGTTAGCTGTACTATACAAGCCCATACGATCAAAACAGAGAGAGACGATTCTCTTCTCTTACTGTAACTACCATAAACTGGAACTTACTGCAGATTATTCAAACTAAAGTTAACAAAATGAAAACGAATTTAAAAAAATGTTTTGAAAAAAAAATGTTAATAAAAAATCAATCGAGTGCAATTTTTCTTATTTACATATCGTTCATACTGCTTTCCAGCTAAATGCAAAATAGTTCAACCGAACTACATCGTACATATTTATAAGTATTTCGCATGCAATATTACTTCATAAATATACTAATATTTGCATAAATTATTCTTCATCAATTCAATCATTACACATAATTAAATTCAGTTTTTTCACCGCGTTTTCACTACATATTCATATTTTTACTTTAATCAAGAGTTAAACTTGCACTTCGCAACAACACATATGTCTCACTTGCTGTCGACCAGCCGAGCCGCCAGCCGGCCTACAGCTTATTTTTTTTTTTGCCAATCCACAATATACTAATACTAAATGCCAACATTTGTATACAGAGGGAGGTGTGTTCAACCACAACAACACAGTAAATTCAATCCAATACACATACAATTCATATAAACGGACAATTGTTCTTTGTTGTAATATAAATTTGTATAGATTTATTTTAATCGTTCAATTTGCATTCACTTTCATAATAAAAGTAATAATAATAGTTATAACCTAACATTACTTAAATGGTAACATATATTTATATATATGTGTATAAATTTATTCATAAACATACATACATGCATGTATATAAATATAAAGTTTACTAAAATTAGAATTACAAAACATTCGCGTGGAAAATAGAATATTTGCTTTTGACAAAATAAACATATTTGTAAGTATGTGGTATTATATTAACTGCTAACTGCTTTTGATTATAGCTACTGCTGGTTGATTTGCAACACTTGCAAATAAAAAATAATAATTTCGATATACCTTAATTGCGAAACCATAGCGTAGACAATAATAAAACGAATTGAAACAAAGACAATTAAATTGCTGTTTAGAGATTTGCAGTTTTTACAAAAATAAAAACAAATATTGAGATGCGCAAAGAAGGCACGAGTATTCGCTAAGCTCATGCATTCGTTTTGATTTTTGTTTTCTTTCACTTTCGTTTTTTTCCTTCTTCTTTCTAATACGTTAACGTATGCGTGTGTGCATAAGTATAATTAATTGTAAGTATTTATTAAAGTAGTGATGATAAGCAATACAAAACGTCATTGTAAATAAATTTACTTAAATTAAATATATTGTTGGTTGTGTTTACTTGCATATGCGTTTTGTATGTTTGTATGATGATTTATGCATGTTTTTTCTATACAAACAAAACAAAAATAAAAAAAACTGTGACTGTGACTTGTTATAATGTCTATGTCGTTATGATGTGTACTTTTAACTACAAATTTATATAATATGTCCTTTTCAAATACAATATATGTAAATATATATTTATAGGTGAATATATGTATAGTTTATAAATAATAATACATTAAATATTTTCATTATTATTTGTGGTTTTTTTAAAAAATATTTTTTTTAAATTAATAAAGAAAACGTGACAAATTTTAATAAGGTGATACGAAAAAATCAAAAAACAAAAAATTTTGGCTAAATACATTTATATAAAAACTAGTTTAGACTACATTACATTGATATCGTATGCAATGTACATTAGAAAACTCTCCCGCTATTTTCAAAATCATGCAAATTTCATTTTCACAAACACAATTTTCACGAGACTCGCCGTTTTCTTGCATTAATTTAAATTGTAAATTTAATTTCTTTTAATTAATCCGTTTCATTTTGTTTTTCAACTAATCATTATTAGTAAATGAATAGAATAAATGTCTTGTGTGAAAAAAACCGTTATTAGTCTTAATTGTCCGATTTGGGAAGATGCTTTGAATTGTTTTGCTTTGTTTTGCTAACATGCCGATGATTGTTGCTCTTGCTCGTCATGTGGCGCAACTTTGGTATTGGCTTGATTGTTGTTGTTGTTGCAGTTGCTGCTATTTGCATCGACTTAGCACCATCGGCCTCAGTTCTTTTAATTACCGACGTTGTTGTTTTTGTTGTCATTTTGGCAGTTTCATTTAGTGCGGCTGTTGTTGTGGCTACTGTTGCACCAATCGGCAACATACTACTACTACTGCGACTCATCTTACTCAAATTGTTGTGTATATTATTGTGGATGTTGTTGTTCCTGTGGCGTTGGCAATTGCTATGTTGTATATGTGGTTTCTTTATATTATCGCTAATGTGAGACGTGCTGCTGGAAGTGTAAAGCATTTATCAGTAGGCCTGCGCCTCCTTATAATCACTCTGATCGGATGTGTAGAAGTCTTCCAATTTCCATTGCAGTGTCTCGAAGGTCGGTCGCCGCATGGGATCTTTGTGCCAGCACTCGAGCATTATTTCGTATAGACGTGGTTCACAGTTGGGCGGCGACGGCATACGGTAACCGTGTTCGACTTGCGTTAACACCTCGGCATTGGTCATACCTGCAAAGGGATGGCGAAAAAATTTAATAATAATTTGAAAAAAAATCTTCAAAAATAAAATATATAAATTATTTTTTGGCTTACCCGGGTATGGTATGCGTCCGTATGTCACTAACTCGGTGAGCAAAATGCCGAAACTCCATACATCAGACTTAATGGAGAACTTGCTGTAGTTGGCCGCCTCGGGTGCCGTCCACTTAATGGGGAAACGTGCCCCAACACGTGCCTCGTACTCATCCTCTTTGATAAGTCTAAAAGCATAAATTAATTTTAAAAATTTATATAATATATCCAATTAATAATATAAAAAAGTAAGATAAAATCGCAGGACTCAAAGAAAGGAAGAAAGTTACAAAATATCTCACAAAAAAAAAATATTTTTTTAAAATTATTTATAGTATTCTTGTTTATTGGTAAGGGTAAAAAATATTCCCCTAAAAATTTTATGAAATGCTGCCAAGTAACAGTGCTTCGCCGGATAGAAACCGGGGTCCGTTCCGTTTACTCATTTTCAAGGGTTGGTTTCACTGGAAGACTTGTTTTCTAATATAATATAATTTTAGCTAGTTTATTGAGTAAGATTCTTAACAAGAAAGTGTATGATACACATTATAATTGCAATTTATGAAAAAATTCCTCTTAGTTTAGGTACAAAATTCTAAATTTTGCCATGTTTGAACAGCATCAAGCAAATAACACGGATACTAGAGAATTATTAGTATTTTCAAAACCAACTTCTCTGGAACTTTTGAAAATAAGTCACATTGAGAATAATAATTTCGTGTAAGAAATCTATATGAAAAGAACCGTAAAAACGATTAAGACAAAAACAACATTTACTCCGAAATATTCTCATAAAATGGTTGAAAAAGTCAAAATCTTCGCAAAAACTGAACTAAAAATAAAAAAAATTATTTATGAAAACAGAGGCCTATAAAATGGGTTTGACTTTTCAAACTAATATTATTTGAACCTGTACTCTTCCTATATTTTTCCAAAAGACTTTTAAATACATATTTTTAATCAATATACCATTTTTGTTACAAAATATTATTAATTTTAAATATCATTCCGATTTTCAAAATATTCTACATTTATAGGAAGCTTACTCAAATAGAATAATAAAATGGAAAAATAGATGTTTTATTTTGGTTTCATTTGTTTTTTATCAAAAGCACTTAAGTAGATATTACAAAAAAAATAATAAAATCAATTTATAGTCTAAAAAAAATATATAAACTTTTGACGTTATAAACAAACAGCTGTCAAACATATTAATTGACATATGGAGATCAAATTTCAGACGAACATAAAACAAGATTGTAACAATCCAACCAAAAATAAACCAGTCTGAGTCAACGATCGAGTGTAATAATATAAAATAAAAATAACAAAATTATTCGAAAACTCGTCTCGCTAGATTTTTTATCACGTGCCTGAATTTATAATGTAGTTATTTACTACATGAATGTGTTAAATTTCTCAATTCGAGGTGTGGAAGAGACTAAAAAGCAATTACATACATTTTAACCTACATTTTTTTGTAAAAATTACTCCATTATTTGAGGTTAGGTTTTTTATTTTAATATCTAAGTTAAAAAATTCATTTGTATGATGATGTTGAGAGTGCACCTGATTAATTTTTCATAAGTATGGTGATATTTTTCTAACTTAAATTAATTTTATTGTAAAAGTAGATCCTACTTTCAGCACTTTTTCCTCTAAATTTACCACATCTAGTATGCAAACCTATACTACACGAGATTTCTGTCATATTATCTATTTACAAACGATTCACACACGCTGTGCGGTAACTGCGTAGCCTAATAGCTAATATATACGCCACAGCCGACCACCCAACAAGCCCGCATATTTACCTCGCCAAACCGAAATCGGCAATCTTGACAACATTATTGTCGCCCACCAGCACATTACGCGCTGCCAAGTCTCTGTGAATGTAATTCTGTTGTTCCAAATAAGCCATACCGGCGGCAATTTGCGCTGCCATATCAATAAGTATCGCCATCTTTAGACTGCGTCCCTTGCCTGCAAGTACTATAAATTATTTTCGACTGCACATTACAAGCTTCATGTAACGCAATGACAAACTACAAACTAATGCATATAAATACATGGGCGAAAAAATATATTTATATGTACAGATGTATGTATGTATATGTGAATGCTTAGATGAGTAGTAAGAATACATTGTTGATTGTATGAAATGAACGGCAACGCACCTTGCAGGTACTCTAACAATGAGCCGTGCTTCATCAATTCGGTGATGATGTAAATCGGCTCCTCCACGGTGCAAACAGCATAGAGCTGTATGAGTTTTGTGTGACGCAGCTTCTTCATTATTTGAGCTTCGGCCAAAAAGTCTTTTGGATCCATTGTGCCTGAGTTGAAAAATAATAGCAGCAAATTAATAAATGTAAGCTTCTAGAATGCATATGACATTTGTTGACATACCTGATTTCAGCGTTTTAATCGCCACCGGTGTGGTATTGTTCCACAAGCCCTCCCATACTTCGCCGAACTGGCCGGAGCCCAATTTGCGTTGGAATTTAAGCGAAGTTCTGTCGATCTCCCATTGATCGCGTGTTCGATGCGACAGACCCTCAGTAACGGGTTTCTCAATCTGTATGCGGAAATGAAATAAAAAACACGATTAAATGACAGTCGTATGCTAGATATTATGTTGAATTGTGAGTAGGCGTGTTATGTACATTTGCTGGTGTGTAAAGGTACATTTAACTGCCGTCGGCAGACATTTATATAAGTTTTTGTGTATGTATGTACATGTTACTTATGCATTATGGTATAAATATGTAGTTAGAGAGAGAGATTTAAGCATTGACTTTTAAGACTCATTTTAATGTAGTTTTAAATGTGTTTACCATGAACAGAATATACAAGATTAAGTTTGCTACGATGTTTGTAACACTCAAAAGGAACTTCGGAGACTCTATAAAGGCGTGACAAGCTGAGTTGATTTGGCGATATTCGTCTGAATATACGCGAACTATTCCCACAGTTTTTTTCTCAGAAGCTGCTCATTTGTCGGAACTACCGATATCGGACAACTATAGCATATATTTGCTATACAAACAGACCCCTAAAACTCAAGCTTTGGATTAAAAACTTTTTTATTGGACAAGGTATCTTCACAAAATTTATGAGGAGTTATTTGTCAAAGCAACGATACAATCTCCGAAGAAATTTTTCAGATCGGACCACTATAGCAAACACTAATATGCAAAATGACCGATCAAAATCAAGTTCTTGTATGAAATTGGTTGTAATTGTGAAGGGGTAACCTGAAGTTAACGTTTTTTTTTTGTTTAGAGTAAGTAACGGTTATGTTGAATTTTTTTTTTTTAATAATTTCATATTGTTTAACTACTGTTTCAGCAATACTTTCAACAACTGCCATATCATTTTACTCTTAGATAATATAACAACATCAATGCTTTAATCTACTACCTTTCTTGTTTTAAGTATTTTTATTTTGTTTGTAAAGTAAAGAGTGTTTGGATAAAACGAATGGCTGTATATGACTGACCAATAAACACGCCAATAAGAATCTTTTGCTTCAAATAAATGTTTAATGTGGTGAAAATGAATTCTGCTCCCTAAAAAATGCTCAACACATGAAGAATTCTTTGGAAACAAATATGCGACGAGTATGTAGTATGTGAGTAGGTGATGCGACAACGAGAATGCACATTTTAAAAAGGACGACAGCACAAATAAACACAACAACACCAATATATTTATGTAAATGGTAGAAAAGGTGAAAAAGGCAAACACTCGAATTTATTACAAGCCATGAGGGCGTGAAAATATATGCAATTTTTTTTATATTTTAAACACTAATTGAATGTTACAACACAGGCAGCTAGGTGACAGCGGAATTGTGGGTGACTGCTGCTGACTGGTGGGTGTTTGGCATGTGTGCATGTGTGTGTGGTTGGTATTTTAGTTAGAACAAACTCCTACCTCGAAAATACCCGCAAATTGGTTTGCCTATTTAATTTTTTTTTTAAATATTTTTTGTGGCAATTTCAAATGTTTTGTTTTAAGTTGTTAGTTAAATATTTTTCCCAGTAGTATTTAGTATGCAAAAAAATTATATAATTATTTTGGAGCGTATTGTAAAAGTAGAGAGACAAAAAAGATAAATAAAATTGTAATAAAGAAAATCATATAGTCCAAAAAATTAAGGTAAGGGTATGAGACGATGTTAGTTACTCGTAAGACGATAGAAACAAAAACCAACACGATGTAAATGGGAATGCCTGTTGCGAAAAAACTATATTTAAGTTCTAAACTAAATGTGTGATGATGAATTATGTGAATGTGAGTAGTGAAATTGCGTAAAAATAAATAATGTACTGACCTGTACACATGGTTTGCAGAGGTTGACACACAAACCATCGGAATCCTTCGAATAATGCTCCACAAGTTCCTGCAGGGTTCTGTAGGAGACAAGAGAAATTAATGTATTGCTAAAAAAAAGTTCGAACGAGCTGCGTTGACTCACCGGAAAGTTGTGCGACGCGCGATGAAAAAGCCACCCTCGTCTAATTGTCGTATACGGTAATGCTTCACTGTGTCGCCATCACGTACTGCGCATAGAGTAGTAGAAAGTATTTTGTTCATTATTATTTAAGCAATTTCAATTAGAAAAATAATATGAAGAATGTACGCAATGTTTTTAGGATCTTTAATTATTAGTCAAATTTTTTATATTCAATTGGATTTTTAATTTTAAATTCTTTTTTTATTATTTTAATTTATTTGTTTTTTAATTTTTATTTCTTTTTCCATTCTCTATACAGTTACCCACCCGACAGTGAATAGTCATTGTGACGACTCTCCGAGTCGCGTATCAAATATGCTCCATGTTCGTTTTCTGGCAGTAATAGTTTCTTTTCAGCCTCAATTCGTTTTATCTTGCGGAAGTACCAACTGTAAAGATAGTAAAACGAAATAAAATGTAATAAGCCATAAAATACCATTGTTCATAAGAAGAAGAGTTTGCAGTCTAATCGCAGACAAGGAAATATATACCATACAGATATATCAGATGTAAGTGATCAAAAGCCGTACGCAAACGTTGCAAAATCATAAAATACCAAAAATTAGAAACAAAAAAACATAATAAAACAAAAAGGCTGTAAGATAAGCTACCGTACGCTGCATTGTGATGCAATAGGTCATGAGTGAAGAGAGCGCCAGCGGCAGGTAGCGCGAGCTGGCGTGGATGATGTCAAGTCTGGGGCAATATAACGTGTTAATAGCTTTGTTGTGACGGCGTTAATGAAGCATGGCAGTAAAAGGCCGGCAATAATGACGTAATTTCGTGTGAGAAAAGCATGTGAAAACTTAATTTTCGCAGCAGCAATAGCGTTTCGAATAATAGTTGTAGTATTGATATGAAAAATATTGCGTCCATATAATTCAGATAACGTATTATAAAACATTAATAAAGTGTGTTGCCTTTTCAAAGTGATGCTGCAGTCAGATTTGCTATGGAAGAAAACTAATGGACTTATATTTGAAGCTGCCATAAAAAGCTTCATGAAAGCTTTGTTGTTTAAACTTTAAACAGAAACCTAAAAAAAATTACCATAGATATATTCCTGCTAGTTCTTTATATTTAACGAGCAAGTTAAATTTTTTTCTTATTTATTTAAGCTTGAAAACCTGCCAAAGCTTCCATCAAGCTGTTATAATGATCAAAATGAAAATGTTGTTGCAAAGTATATTTAGAAATGTAGTAGAATTTCACAGTTACCTCAGAAGTATTTTCCAAACATTTTCTAACTTTGGAGGAACAAAATTCCTTTTTGAAGCTTTCACTAAGCTTTTGTAACGGTTTATGTCGAAGTCATTCGTAGTATTACAAATCATTAAAGCTATGAGATTTTTGTTTAAACTGGTAATTTAATTTTCTAAATAGTATTTATAAAGAGAAAATTTACACTTGACCCCTGAACAATTGGGAGGATTAGATGATTATTATTAGCGGAGTTTCAAGAACGGTGTTCTGTATGTACATACACCGGCGGGCATATAAATAAAAACGGATTTGTTTTGACTATTTGATACTAAATGCTTAATTTAACCGAGCTTTAAATAACTTTTAGATGAATTTGTAGTTCATAATATAAAATCACATAAATCAAAGTTTTTCTCTTTACAGAAGTTTTATGCCAAGTGAATAAATTGACATTTTTTTAAAAATTTCTAAAACACCGTAATGAACATTGCCTCTTTAAAAACAGAGAATAAAATAATAAATTTGTATACCTTGCAGAGGGTATATTATGTTTGCCTCGCAGCTTATAACACTCAGAAGGCAACGTCGGAGACCATCTAAAATCTATATGTATAAAAATGATCAGCGTGACGAGCTGTGTCGATTTAGCCATGTCCGTCTGTCTGTCCGTCCGTCTGTGCGTCTGTCTTGCTGTATATACGAGAACGAATCCCTCAGTTTTTGAGATATCAATCGAAAATTATGCATACATCCTTTGCTCCCCAAGAAGCTGTTCGTTTGTTAAAATCGTTGATATCGGACCACTATATATATTCACATAGCTGCTATACAAACTGAACGATCGGAATTAAGTTCTTGTATGCAAAACTTTTTTCATTTGTGAAGGGTTTTGTAGCAACGGCGCCAATTAACGTTTTTTCTAGTTTTAAAGCACAGAATAATAGTTTGGAGACCATTTTTGGTAAATTGTAGGCTGATTTTCACTCATTTCATAATTTTAAAAAATTTAACTGAAAAATCAAGATTCATATAAGAATTTTATATTAAAAAATTTTTTTTAATGGGCTTTAGATTAGAAAAATACTGTTAGAGAGCATTCTCTCTTAATTGGAATTAAACTATTCTTTCATACCCACAGTTAAAAATCATTAACGTGAAATACTAAAATTAATTTGTAATTAAACAACAATAAATAAAATATTAGTATGAAAACCAAATATATGTATATGTGCATTGCAAAAAAGAATACACACTTGCAATGATTTGCACAATTTTCCTGACCCATAAAATGAGCGTGACTGCAAAGGTGCAAAGCAATCGTGAATTAAAGTTATCAAACCAACAACAACATTTAATCCATTACAGACATTCAAAATGCTTTGTCATAACGTTAACATTGACCTTAATATGAAAATCTTCAAAAAGTACGGCACCACTGTTTTTGTTATATTTTTTTTTCTTTTGTCAAATTCATTATTTTTTTTAACGATATTGTTTGTATTGCTTTGCCAACAGGCACAAAAACAAACTGTTGCAAACAATTATGCTGATAAATGGAAAAGCACACAAGTGCTTCGCATGAATTATGCACAATAAGATGTCGAATAAATATTTATTTATGTAAGTACTGCGGTGTTTGAGCACATAAATGGGTGTCCAACGCCAAATTACAACGCACACACACACAAATATGGGCACCAAAACAAGTGATGCGAGCACCTATAAAGGGCTTTCGGGAAAAATGAAATAAATTATGAATGTCATGATTGCCGTGCTACCAGCCAGAAAAAAAACTAAAAACAAATAATCCAAGCTAAAATGAAATAATGAATATTAAGGGACAACAACAAAGGCAGCATTTGTGGGAAGTACAGTAACACCGGTAGCTAGACATGTCAGTTATGGTGGCAACAGTTAATGATTTATTTTTATTGTTATTAAATTTTATTAGACATTAATTGGCAGCGCAAATTGCCGAGTGTCAATAAATGCGCACAAAACAAAAACAACAGTAAAAAAATAAAAATTAAAAAAATAAACTGACTAAACGCCCAGTACTAGCATATAACAGATTTTTATATACACACATACATACATACATAAATGTGTATTTCTTATATTACAGTATTATATTATATACTTAAGTATATAGTCATGAATTAACGAATTCTATTGCATGCACAGCTTCGTGCGCGTCTGTCATCTTTGCGTCGCTGCTAATAACAAGTTAAACAGTTATCAATTGTTAGGCATCGGTTGTAAGTTGATGTGCGAAACGGTGCCAGTCGGTGTTGACTCTTTAGCCACAGTCACACAGCAACAACATTAGTTTTATTAGCGCTGTAAGCGGTATTTTTAGATATTTTACGAGCACACGAGTGGCTAAATTGATTTCAGCCATTAGACCGCATTTACATTTGGTAGAAAATTGTAATCTAACCTATATGTTAATATGTATTATCAAGAACATGCTATAATCTTAACTGTTCAGTAAGCGTTTGAATTTTACATATCATTTTCAAGAAATTTATCAAAAGTAAAGCATTTACATATTAAAAGTAAAAGTTTCACTTTTTACAGACGATCAAATTAATCGGAAAGTGTTTTTTTTTCCAAGAAAGTTGAGTTAGATTTATTTGTTTAATTTTTCTTTATTTATTTTTTCATTTGGTACAGCACTAAAAAGGGCATACGTGCTCATATACACACGAAGACACACATATACATATACAAATGTGTGTGTGTATGTACAAATAAATAGCTAAGAAGACTTTCACTTAAATGTATTCGAAAACACAGTACATACTCGTAGATATGTCTGTATGTATATATACATATACTTGTATATATATATATATTATATTTATATATGTATATGAAATTTAAAATATTTGAAATTTCGTTTGTAGCGCTTGCAGCAGCTGCTTGACTATTAAGCAAATAATTATGTTACCAAAGTCATGAGAGAAAAATAAGATAATATGAAATATTTTAAACTGTATATGTGTATGTGTGTAATCAAGGTGCAAAATAGCTGCTTTTATGTTAATTAAATATTTTGCACTATTTTGTTAAGTCATACACATAAGTAACGGGGCGTTAGTTTGCGTTTTCGAATATTTAATTTCCGTCGTGTGGCAGCACACTTAATGTGAAATATTTAATGATATCTAGCACATTCTCAGTTTGTAGAATAATAATTACTTTAACTAAAAAATTCTAAAAAATTAAGCATTAATATGAAATTTATTTTAAACTCCAAATCGGACAAACGAGAATTTTTGCTTTTGAAAATCTAAGTAAAAAAATTAATTAGTTTTTTTTTCAACTAAAAAAATTTTATTTTTGTAAACATACAAATTAAAATATTAATAAAATATTTTAATGTATTTCGAGTCCTTACATGGTTTTAGTTTTTATAAATGGCAACGCAGTTCCGATTTATAATTTTTAATGTATTTACTACACTTATTTTATAAACGTAATATTATTTTTTTCTAAGAATTTGGTTTATTTATAGAGTTCAATATAATATTTATATATTTTAATTGAGCATGATATTTCAGTTCTATGAAATCGACCAATCCGAGCTTAAGTCACTTCGACAATGAAGCAAAACTAATTTCAGACATTCGATTGACCGAACCTTCTCTTTTATAGACTTTGAGTATGTACTAGAAAAGAATACAAATGAATTGAGTCTTCCACTGCGACCTAATATCTATGGAGCTCTCCCCTATATCACACGCACTCACAAAACCCCAACTCTAATAAATTCGAGCAACCTGGTGGGCGCTATTGCATATTGCAGAAAATGTTGCCTGCATTTCGGCGGATTGTTGAAATAGAGCGCTAACATTCAGAAAAAACGGTAAAATATAGTTTAAAAATTATTCACAGAGGCCGATGCCTCTGGTAAAGAAAGAAGATAACAATGATATAACCCTTCAGTAATAAATAATAACCCCTTATATGGTTTCACAAGATAGTTACTTAAATGAAGCACTAATTTTGTATGTGTTAGGTTATGTGTAGTTCATAGGTATACAAACTTTCATTGGTATGAATATTACTCGGTGGCGAAAAAAATTTAGACTAGACTTATTGCGAGAATAAGTATATGCAAATTGGAAAGATCGCATTGTCTCCCATGTCGAATCGTGCGCAATAAAATATCAACGGGGTG